CTCAAAATTACCCAGCCAGCTTTCATGGCTAAGGCGGGACTAGAACTCACCGTCTCCTGGTGATTGGCTCAAAATTACCCAGCCAGCTTTCATGGCTAAGGCGGGACTAGAACTCACCGTCTCCTGGTGATTGGCTCAAAATTACCCAGCCAGCTTTCATGGCTAAGGCGGGACTAGAACTCACCGTCTCCTGGTGATTGGCCCAAAATTACCCAGCCAGCTTTCATGGCTAAGGCAGGACTAGAACTCACCGTCTCCTGGTGATTGGCCCAAAATTACCCAGCCAGCTTTCATGGCTAAGGCAGGACTAGAACTCACCGTCTCCTGGTGATTGTCTGAAAGTCACCCAGCCGGCTTTCATGGCTAAGGCAGAACTAGAACTCACCGTCTCCCAGTTTTCTAACCCTGGTGCCTTGAGCACACTTCCCTCAAAGGACTTTTTCCAAAGCTTGTCGCCTCCCCGAAGACAACAAGAACGGGTAGGTGCCCAAGAGGTAGGTGCTCTATAGCTCCCAGGTCTCCCAGCTCCTTGGCAGATAAATCGTTTCCCTATCCTAGCCAACCTTCAAAAGAGCCGGAGGGCGCCTCCCGTCCACTCACCTTTTTCAGGGCCATCACCTGAACGGCACAAAGTTCACTGAGGCAGGCCGAGATCTTCTCCAGCGGGAGCCTGGCAAGCACCAACGCCGTCCCTGCCCAACGAGAGGATGGACAGGCGTCCATCAAACGGTTCCGACCCATCTCCCCAAACGTGAAAAAAAAAAAAACCCCTCTGTGTTTAAATCAATGATTCCTTCTCTCACCCCAGGCTGACCAGATGATGATCTATCACACCTATTCATCTCCACCCGCTGCCTTTTATCCCCAGAGCTCAGGTGGGGCTTTGCTAGCAGCGATGGGTCTTCCGTCCCGAGGGCCGGCTCATAGATTTCCCCTGCTCTCCTCTCCTCTCTGCCTTTTGCACATCCACGCGTCAGGCACTGGACCCAGATGTTCCTCCTCTTTCTCATCAGCCACTGCCAGACTCAGGGGCTGTTGGCTCTCCCTCTCCCTCCCTCCCTCCCCTCTCTCTGGTAGCTCCCATTTCCTCTTTCCCCCTGGAGCTGCCAGGATGCCCCGATGCCGACCCTGACTCCGCCTCGCCCGCCTCTGCCTCCTCTTATTCAGCCGTTGGAGGGGCTGGCAGCCGACAGGCCCTATCACCAGCCAGTCGGGGCAGCAATATTACGGGCTTTGCCACCCAAAAGCTCTCCCCACCTGAGGTAGGTGAGACCTGGCCTGGGGCTGGAAGGAAGGAGGGAGGGAGGACGCACCTTTCAAGAGTCCGACCGCTGCTTCGGGCGAGAGCATGAAGGAGTCCAGGGAGCGGGCGATTTCCAGCAGTCCGGTGAAGTGCTGGGCCATGTGGTCCCGGCACACCGAGCAAATGTTGTGGATGGCTTTGGCGGCGATGGAGGCGAGGGCTTTCTCGCACAAGCCCTTCATCAGGTAGCCCAGGACCGGATCTGTGGGCGGAGGAGGGGAGGGGGAGAGGGGGAGCTGGATGGGGGGGGCGCACGGGAGGGGCTTCTCCCACGCCAGCGTCTTCTTCGTTGGGATGTTTTCCCAGCCGTTCATCCTTTCGTCATCCTTCCAATCCTTCCTTCCATCCAACCAGCTTTTCTTCCTTCCATTCTTCCATCCATCTTTCCATCCATTAATTCATCTTTCCTTCCTTCCATTCTTCCATTGTTCTGCATTTCTTTCCTTCCATCCTTCCTTCCTCCCACCCATTCATCCTTTCATCCTTCTATTCTTCCATCCATCCTCCCTGTATCCTTCCATCCATTATCCATCCATCCAGCTTTTCTTCCTTCCATTCTTCCATCCATCTTTCCATCCATTAATTCATCTTTCCTTCCTTCCTTCCTTCCATTGTTCTGTATTTCTTTCTTTCCATTCTTCCTTCCTTCCACCCACCCATTCATCCTTTCATCCTTCTATTCTTCCATCTATCTTCCCCGTATCCTTCCTTCCATTATCCATCTATCCAGCTTTTCTTCTTTCCATCCATCCATCTTTTCGTTCTATTCTTCCATCGATCCTACCTTCTATCCTTCTTCCACCCATTCCTTCCATCATCCATCTTTTCTTTCCATTTTTCCATCTATCCATCCATCCATCCTCCTTGTAGCCTTCCTTCCATCATACGTACATACATCTTTTATCTTTGCTTCCTTCCTTCCATCCATCTTTTCCTTCTATTCTTCCATCCATCCATCCATCCTCCTTGTCACCTTCCTTCCATCATACATGCATCTTTTATCTTTCCTTCCTTCCTTCCATCCATCCATCTTTTCCTTCTATTCTTCCATCCATCTATCCTCCTTGTAACCTTCCTTCCATCATACATGCATCTTTTATCTTTCCTTCCTTCCTTCCTTCCTTCCTTCCTTCCTTCCTTCCTTCCTTCCTTCCTTCCTTCCTTCC